CGGGACGCGGGGCGGGGGCCGCATCCCACCGCTGTTGTCCCACCTCACCCAGGGGTGAGGGCCTCCCTCACCAGGAGCCCCTCCTGAGGCGGCAAGGCCAGAGGCCTGTGGGGGCGGGAGCGGCCGGCCTGGCGTTTGCAGGCCTGGCGGTCTCCCTCGGAGGCTTCCCCGCTGGGCCGAAATCGTGTTTGGAGGCTCCTGGTGGGAAACACGAGCTGCTTTGAAGGAACACGTTTAGATCAGGATCTGCCAACACGATTCTGGCACATTAACCTCTGAATTACGCAGTGATCGTATAGTATGTGATCATACGGCTTGTGGTGCTCACACAGTGGGTAGTGCTTCCACACATCAGAAACGCGGGCGTTACCCCTGGTCACGAAGTGAAAGCATCACCCTGGAAAGCGTCTGCATCGTTCCTTCAGCTGAATACACCGAGTACATAAAGACTCGTAACAAACAGCTGGGCTCCATTGTTTTGCTTTCAGTTTTGTTTTAGGAGGAGTTGAAGAAAAAATAGTGGATTTAGGTTTTTCACCTTGCGGATGATGGGGAGCTGGGCTTGCTGGCATCACCCTGCAGGGATTTCTCCCTGAAATGGCCAACAGGAAAGGACTTTCTGACGCTTGGCCGTTTATGTCCCATTTTCTCTCTTCCTCAGCAGGTGGCAGCAACGGCCTTTGTCTGACAGGGACCCGTCCTGTGCACACGCAGTATCCTCCACAGATTCGCCTTTCAAGATTGATCATTTCACCAAAAAAAAGTTTCAGTTGAATGATAATTACTTCGGATCCTCTTAATTGTTTCTAAAACAATGCAAAGCAACTCCAGAATAGTTAGGTTCATTCGACTAGAAAACCTGAAAAAAATTACAGCTCACGTTTTACTGAGTATCAGAAAATACATTTAAAAATTCCAAACCAAACAACACTCTACAATTGACAATGAGTGCAACCCTGGCTCAAAAATAGGCTGATCTATTTTCATTTGCAAGCAAAGTATATTTTGGGGAGGAAACGACCCCCTTTGAGACATTTGTTCTCAGATGATGTAGCGAGCGTCTGTCACAGAGGACGGAACTTCAGGGAACTGGCTGGAGAAGTCTCTTCCATTATGAAGTTCGATGCCGTTGTTCTCTGGCAGCGCTCTGCAGCATTTACACATTTTACAGGATGTTGCTGATTAATTATTACATTGTTTCTTAGTCTCATATCTCTTCATTACTTAGGCTGAGCTAAAGGTTTGCCCTTTTCTCTGTATTCACACGGATCGATATCATCGGTGCGATTATAGTTCAGTATTTATCCATGTATATGTAGATATGGATATGGCCTACATTATGTTTTCAAATACAGGCTTGAGGATTTTTTTTTTAAGTAACTAGGCCTCAATTTGTGTATATTGTCCAAAGGAGGGTATTCTTGCCATTCGGTAATGACTTACAACTTTAATTTAGGGAAAACGGACAGTAAATTGGTCTGGGCACAATCTGTATTTGTCAATAGTCTCTAGACTGACAGATCTGATGCCATCTGATACCCGAAGCAGTGTCTCCACATTTTCTGCCCTTGATGCCATTACTTCTTAAAAAGTGAGACAAAGGTCCTTACATTAAGGATTTTGTGGTGCCCCTAGATGTGAATTAATCTAGTGTTCTTTTCAGAAACACATCCATACGGACTGAAACGTCAGGAGTGTGAATGGCTTGCTCAGACTCAGCAGCCTGGGTACAGAAAGCTCTTATTCTTTGTGCAGAAATATCCTAATGGGCAGCCATGGTGGGCAACACAATGCAGAAGAAACATAAGAGGATAAGGTGGTTTGCCCATGTTGTGTTTGGTTTTCAGCGTTTCGGCCCTGGACCTGGGCTAACCATCCCTTTGAAACATAGGTGTTGTGCTAGTACACAATCCGTTAGTAAGAGCCACCTTTAAGAAAACTGGAAAGCACAAAAGGTCATTTAATTACAAAATAAATAGCGCATGCTTTAATTTTTTTCACAATCAAGACTTAGAAAAACAAGTTAAAGAAAGAACTTACCGTCTCCGCAGAGTGAAGGAGTGCTTTGGTGCAGACATTGAACTGGGACTCTGGTAGTCTTCCGTGCCACAGGCTTGCTGTTTGACACGAACCAGTCAGTCAGACTCTCCATATTAAGCCACAAGGTCCTTTGGGATCAGCAGGAAGATTTAAGAGACCTTTAATCTTCATTCATAAAATCAGAATACTTTACCACATTGCTTCTTTCATCAGCTGGTGATCTTGTCAGTTGAGAATCTAGACAGTTTGGAGCAGAAAATCACGTACTATCAGCCAGGGGGATCCGAGATGGCTTATCTTTTCTTGTTTTCTTTTTTTTTTTTAACATGGTGGTTGTTTCTCAGTACTACTTCAATGCATACAAATAATAATTTTAAAGAAGCGGAAGTACTCCAGGGTGGAGATGCCAATCTTATCAAGGCACGTAAATGTGGAACTGAGAGCACGGCTTTCAAATACAGGCAAGGGTGCGCTTCCATGCTGCAATTAAAAAGTGTTCGGCTCTGTAAAGGGAGGTCTCATTCCTTCACCCTCCTCCCTCACTCTTTTTTCCTGGTCCCGCTCTCCTTTCTTCCTTCACCGCTCCTCCAGCCCCCCATTTCTGGCTGTACAGGCCTTTCTTCTCACTATTTCGTACTATCACCATTGGGCATTGGATCGGAAAGTAAATCCAAATGCCCCAGAAAACATGACTGTAATTTTTTCTGGATTACATTTTCTGCTCTTCTGGTGAGTTAAGGCACCTCACTGTACTATCTATCCTGTGAGCATCAGGGCGAGCTTTTAGGAGAGGAGAGCGCATAGGCAGAAGGAAGGGAGGAGGTCGGGGAGATGGGGAGGGGAATGGTTCTCCTTGTTTCTGTGGCAGCAAGCTCTTAGTTTGTCTCAAATCATCTTGTTACATCATACCCTGAAAGACAGGGAAGGAATAAAAAGCACCGCCTTCAGAGATGCAGAGAAAACCCATGTAGTAGGAGGTACTAACGCATCTTTGGTTTTATTGGACTTTCCAGACTTTGATTTCACATTCTTTTAACAGGAGCTGAGCTTGATTCTCTGCTGCCTTGCACTTAGTGAACTCTGCAGCAAGGGTGTAAAATGCTGTGACTTCAAAAAGTAGAAGACAGTGAGGGGCCAAGCACTTGTTTTTTACATGATGTCTGTGATCTTCTTGAGTTGTTTTCCCAGACTGTGTGTAGTGGCCAAGACGGAGGCAATATAACGTCAACTAATGAAAGAAGAAAAAAGGGTTTCAGTCTCATTCTTGGTAGCATGGCTGATTCTCAGAAGACCCATGGATGACCCTTTCCAGCCTATGGGGAGCTGCTAACATTTCTGTTTACAGTGGTTCCAAATGAGAAATTAAGAACAATGGTGAGTGCCATGTGTAGCACTCGACAATTTGCTTGTTGCTATATTTCAGCTCTTTATAAAATAGAAATAAGGGTGCTATCCAGCAGCCCACCACTGATAATACCGCACAATTACTACAGCATCTCCAAATTGTGGGAATGAACCTGGACACCCCTTCAGCAGGTGGAGAATCACTTCTCTGCCTCAAAGACACAACATCTTAATTTATTGCTTTAGTTAAGTTTACTTTGTTTTTCTTCATAACCAATTTTAGGCAAACCGGCATGTTACATTATCAGGCATTCCAGTGCTGTTAATTCAGCAGCAGTGTGTACAGTGTGTGCCATTGCAGTATGCGAAGTTATTTTAGCAGAATTTGAATCCAAGCATTGTACAAGCACAGTAAATACAAACCCCATTTTCATGCATGGTCTTAGAACAGCGCTGCTCTCTTCTGTGCTAGAACGTATTTCTTCCATTTTTGATTGCTACTGCACTCTAAATAGTAAATAAAAGTGGGGTTTTTTTCCCCGCACTGTCTGAAAAATAACCCCAAAATGAAACTCAGTTCCAGTCTCTCGTTGGGTTTAGGTTGAGTGTTACATCTTACAGCCGAGTTAAGCAACGAGCTCAGGAATTTCCTTTTTTGGTGATCGTTATAGGCTTTGTTGCAGGATATACCAGGGCGGAGGGGAAGAGAAAAGAAGCCTGTTGGGGGTGAAGGGGGCTAAAGCAAGCTTTATGTCTCCATCTGCTGTGGTTAATTCCCATCTCCCTGTCCC